TCACTGTTCCTTATAATGCAGAACTCCGAACAAAGTTCTTCAAACTCTCTGTAAGAAATACGTATGAGTAAAATAACCAACAGTAAACCATGTGCCATGCCTCCTATAGTTAAAGTTGTTACAAATCCATATGCAACAGTGCATATTAGAGCTTCAAATTGAAAGTGTTGCTTTTTTTCAATATCCGGATAATAAATATTCAGGTTGACAAATTGAAAAACGATCGTGAATAATATGGCGACGAATGAAACATAGAAGGAGACTTTTACTAAAGCATTATAGTAGACGTCTATTCTTTCATACAACCTTTCGTTTCGTAATTTCGTAATCAGATTGATCTTGTTGTGGCTGTTGAAGGTCAGAATGATCGAATAAGTAAGGAATAATACAACAAGAGAAATGTTTATTATTTTGCCATCGTCTCGAAATACGTCAAACCATCCAAGACACAATGCGTATTCACCTCAATGTGGTAACGATTGCCACGTTAAAAGAATTGTAAATTGCCATAATATAAACTGGAGGCATCGAACGTAGATGTTCGTTAAGTTTTGATATTAAGGTTTGTAAATTCGTTGCATACAAAAACAAACTCGGAATGGATCCAAACCGTAAACCAGGGCCGTGGTCCAACATGGTGCAAGGAAACAGCTCATGCAAATTTCTTCCTCAATATTTCAATTCATCTTGCCGGTGCTTCTGCGGAACATAATATAAACAGAAATTCACTCGAAATATCGGGATATATAACGACGCTAGTTTAATTTTTATGCAATTCTAATTTTCTAATAGCTCGTTTGAAGTCGTGCCAAATTAAATTTTCTCAAGCACTATCCATCATGTATTTTATCGTAACTCTATGTAATGGTTTACTTTACTAATTGAAACGTGTAGTTGTTTACCTATTATAAAAGCTTATCGATTGCAAAGGCTAAATATAAACTACAAAATATGTGATATCCGTTATATAACGCTATAATCACATCAGATTTTCGTAAGCATCAATTAGTAATTACACGAGCAAAATTATGGAGTTTTATTGAAATAACAGGGAAATAAAGACAGACTTTATCATTTTGATGACAGAAATGACGTTTTTACGCGTTTTATGAATATTAACGTTTATATTCACGTTCAATATATTAAGCTAATAACGAAAAAAACGTAAGAATAAATTGAGAGTGAGGCAAGTGCTTGTTGACAGAAGCCAAAGGAACTTTGCATCCTATTTCGTTTGGTCACTCCAGATATTACCATTGAAAATTAATGTTCAATAAATTACGTTTATTGATGGGTTACTGCATTTGAAAATATTCATATGGGGATATCCATAAGTTACGTCTGCATTTTTCTTTAAATTTTTACTCCCCCTCTCCTCTTGTCCCAGTGTTTTCAAGTTTCTTAATCCCCTCCTCTTCTTCGGATGTTTTACAAAACTCTACCCTCATTTCACCTTTATCGCTTTAAAAACGATAGATACTAAAAGTAGAAATAAAACGTACGAGACATTTTAAAATAGATATAATAATGTGAGACTCAGCAGCCTTGTTTACTTACTTAACTACAGTCTAACCTATTTCTTTAACAATCGTTTTATCGTTTAAATATCATATTTCACACCTGGGAGTTAATCACTCAGCAAGTTCTCAGTTGCTAAAGGACGCTTTCACAGAACCTTCCGACCTATTATTGCAAGTTGTCAAATAAATATTCGCGTTTTTCATGGAGTATAGAGGGCGCTACATTTTTTCAAAATGGCTACTTTATCTAAGTCGCTTGTAACTAGTAATATAAAATTAATCGTATATCACTGTCCGATGTAATGACATATGCAGCTTGTAGCTGTTTATCCAGAAATTTTATAGGAGGAGAACAATTATTCCTAGTTGGACACGTCATTATGTGGTATCGAAACAAATGAGGGAGATCGTTCTATACATATTTGTGCCCTTTGTGTTAAAAACATCAGCGTTGACATTGTCCCATCAGGGCCGGATTTACAAGTAAAAAGCTATGTAAGTTGTTGGTCAGGGTCTCAAACATTTGTACAAAAAAGAAAATTGAAGTCATATTTTGTAATAAACATTTTTATACAAACTAACAAAGTATACTTTACTTTTTATTTTGTGTAGTATTTCATTAATTTTTTTTTCTAAGAATTAACATAAGGTTTTTTTTAAATAATTGATAAAAACCAAGATTTTTAATAGAATGGGTATAAAATTTAATTAAATTAAATTATAAAACAGAAGAGTACTGAAACCTCACATCTTTTTCTTCCAATATCCGTATTAAATCAGAGTCATAGTCTGATTTAATTCTTTTCCTTTTATGATTGACTCTTAAAATTGTGAAGGGTTGGTAAGGGGCCTTACAGAGTTCAGCTTAGGGCTTTTGAAATTCGAACGTGTCCCACACAAAATTACTGGCATTTTAAACTTTATGAAAATATGTGTTAAAATTGACAGCATAACTTGTTCGTGTAAAGCTGGACAACTAATCCGGAAACTGCCAATTTTTAACAGTCTAATTCACTCATAATTTGGAGAAGCTCATAAATATAACCGACTGATTTACATGGACTGAAGCTCATAAATATAACCGACTGATTTACACCGACTGAAGCTCATAAATATAACCGACTGAACTATAGTCGACATCGTTACAATAATCATCTGTTTTTCGTGTGGGAATAGACAAAAACTTATATCAGGCCCCGTAAGGCTTTGAAATTGCAATTTGGAACGCAATAGAAGGCTTTGCTTTTTCTATCGCTATTCATGTTTATTGCTAACAATACACAAGAATGAATCATGAATCAAACGACCCAGATAGAATAGTTTTGTTTTTAAACACCAGAAGGCGAGCATCCGGTGAAAAATGCGAATAGCAACAAACCGATTTTTGGGGACTGTCACCGCCGTTCCTTTGATGGTTACAGTTGTCACCCGATCCTCTAACACAAGTGATTTTCATTACAACTCATCACGTTCGCGCCAAACAGACTCTATATCAATTCATTTAGATTTCTTTGCTTAATATACTTCGTTTAATTGTTTGTTTTTTAATACGGCATCTTGACAAACGAGAGGCCTGCCTAGGGAGCTTGCCCTCTGAGAACTTTCTACGGGAGTTTTACCCTTATTTAGATGTTTCAAACATGAAGGAACCAGGAAAAAGTCCAGTACGCTGCCGAGACGACAACCCACGACCACTTATCAGTGTTCAGTGATGTTATATGCTCGGCCACTGGTGAAGAAAGCTCGTTCCAACTGCAGAAATGTATTTAATTTGTATCATCATTACAGAAAGTCTATTGTTCTGTACTCCGTGTGTTACATTTTAATAATTTTTAAAAACTATTTTTCCGCTGTTACGAATATAACAAAAAGCATGGTGATCTGTCATGGATGCTATGAAATAGACTAGAAGTGAAAGAATGCTAGATACAGCATTTCAAACTTGAATTTTATACGTAAATGAGAATATTAATTTGATATTTTTGTTCTTTTTTAGATTGCACTCTCGACAATATTACATATTATGGAACTTTTCCATTTACAACATTTTATACAAACATTATATTTTCTTCAATACAATATTATATTCAATTCAATCTTATATTTTCTTTAAAAAGCTCTTTAAACATACATATTCTTCGTGGATGGACGGTTTTCTAAGGAGCTATAACTTCGGAAAAATTAGTAGAAAATTAAATTTTGGTTATATTTTGTTACCTTACATTAATTTTTCTACTTCTTTTTGTACAATACAGTTTATATATATATTTTTTCGTTTTAGTAATAACATCTCTTAAGCGGATATCAAATCTAACGAAAACAGCTACGCTAATTATCGATTTTTTTATTTGTTACCTTATATTAAAGCTTAAATATGAACGTACACAGAAAAATATAGCAAATTCATGCCTACCTGTTGTCAAGTGTGTTCAAAAACTTCTAGATTCCTTTATAAACGACTTTAAAGAACACTTACCATTCAAAACATGCAGAACCACACGCACTTTTTGTCAGAACATATCGGATTTAACAACGTGATTCAACCAAACAATAGAAAATTTGACAACCCATTGTCGCGACACTGATAATCAAGGGACTGTAGACTCATGTGCTATCACTCTAATATTCTAATCGTTTGCATGTCTTCGCCTGCTTATAATTTCCTGTAAGTTTCAGTTCAATCGCATAATTTCTTCATTCTTTTGCAGTCTTTACAAACGGTAGTGTGTATTATCGCAAGATTTAAGTCAATTTGTTACTTATAAAATCGTAAACTTCTTTTTCAGATTTGAAGTTTCAGCTCAAATTTAAAAATTTTAAAATAAATTTTATATTTTTTAACTATTATTAAATGGCAAAGGCTTAACTTTTATGGTAGAAATAGGTTTCATAACAAAATTTTATATGCTAATAACGAGTAAAATCGTCATCAGTTCCAACCCTAGTGCAGATACATGCGACACGCCTTAACACGTGTTTGTTCTTCTTCGTTACGATTTCGCTAGAGGCGCTACGGTCGGTCTCAGCCAATGTGTTTCTGCAGCTAAAAGCTTGTATTGTGCCTTTATAAATTACTGTACTTGTAAATGANTTTAACTATTATTAAATGGCAAAGGCTTAACTTTTATGGTAGAAATAGGTTTCATAACAAAATTTTATATGCTAATAACGAGTAAAATCGTCATCAGTTCCAACCCTACTGGAGATACACGCGACATTCCTTAACACGTGTTTGTTCTTCTTCCTTACGATTTCGCTAGAGGCGCTACGGTCGGTCTCAGCCAATGTGTTTCTGCAGCTAAAAGCTTATATTTGTGCCTATGTAAATTATTGTACTTGTAAATGACATTTTTCCATCTGAAAAATAATGATGATTATTATTTCATTTATTTTTTAAAATGCGAAACTAAGGTAAAGTATTTGAAAAATTTTATACGCATTAATTTGCATAATTCCTTGTCTCATCACTCTTATTTTTATCTGCAAGTTTCGCTTTTGTCTGCATTGTTAGATTCCACTTTCCTTTTACGAGTTTTCACATTTAGTGTATTTTAATAATGTTGTATACGAATGACATTATCATTCTACTGATAACTGTGTTTTTTTAACTTATTTAATGGAAGTTCTCTAAATGACAAAGTAAGTAGTCTGTCCTCAACAGAAAAATGGTTTATAGGCCTATTATATTAGAAATGACGTAAATACAGTTATCGAAAAAATTGAAAGGTTAATCTTTACTTACGTGGACTGTCATGGCCTCAGAGTGGGGACCCACGTTCTAATCTAACCTACTGTGTGGCTATGGCAGTCCACTTTAGTAAAGATTGACCAAATGAAAATATTAATAAGAATGAATATAGATAAAAGACACGGTTTCGAATTGTAAGAAAATGTTAAAGTTAGCCATTGCGGAATCTGATATTAATATTTGATGCGGTGTTTTGGAAACAATTACATCTGACAGGTACTGACATCACCTTGTTTATCGTGAACTTTAAAAAAGGTTGGAAACATTCCGTATGCCAGGATGTTAGTGAGTGGGGTGGTCACTATTTTATTCATCTTAGAGGCTTACTATTCTCGAATATTTCTGAAATTTTGCTAGAAGGTTTGCACTATAGGGGATGGATCCTTTTAAATTTTGGTGGTTAAAGGTCAAGGGAATGGAGAGATAGACGGGAGGTCGTTAGTCCTGCCTATATGGAGGGCTTTTAATTATTTTGGCCGGAAAAGTTAAGCAACTCGTTGCTGTATTTCTTTCCAGGTAATGTTCAGCACGTCAGTCAGCTTGTTCGTCATTTCAATGTTTGTAATAACAAAGTATGTTCATGCATCATTCAATACACTCGAAACACACAGATTTCTTCTGTTGATTACCGTAGCTACGACAATTTCGTGGATTTTGGAATTAACCAGATGGTTGATGTAAGGGTATTTCAGTTGTTAATTGCAAGTAATTTTTTATGTATTTTAAATAACTTTATAAAAATTTATGTCATATTTTAGAAGAAAGATATTCAACGTGGAGCAAGGGAATCAGAACAGACATTTCAACCATTATTTGCTTTTCGTTGAAAGTGTTTTGTTTTCCATTATCTTAAAATTGGCAGATTCGTACTTTGTGGAATATTTGAAAGGAGAAGATTACGAAATAGAGAAGAACGACGCTTCTTTGTTACAATATTGTGCCCAGAATCATGGACAAGATTCATTAATCGACGTTTTGTGGTATTCGGAAGATTAATTTGAACTGTTTTAATCTCCGTATTTAATCACGTTACCATACAGACAATACATAAAATTCAATGACCAATTTTTTCTCTGTAAATTTTGATTGCAGATAAATTATATTTGTGTACTTTCATGTTGCTATAATTTCTATTTTATTCAATTTTGATATGTAATTTCTAAGTTAAATTTTAAATGGTTCTTAGAAGTATAAAATAAAGAAAAAATTTAATGTTTTGTTTTAATTCTTGTTTAACCAAACACGTCAAAAATGAAGAAAAATGAGAAATTATTGTTTCGTCGTCATAATACCGGAATGCACTTTTTAATTTTAATTTTAATTATAAGCTGTCTGCCTGAAATTAGTGGTGTGTTGCCCCTGTATATCATACTGTTTCTGACGACACAATCATGCCAGTCATCTAACTCCTTTCAATTAACTATATAGGGGACACTTTCTATATTTTATTTGGACTTTCATCTATCTTACTCCGTACTCAAGATTAAAGAAGGACAGACAGGTAGTGGTAATTTGCAGGTCTACAATCTATTTAAATTGCAGCCTAAATACTGAAAACATACTAGTGCAATGAGAAAGACTACGCGGACACACAACAAATTGAGTTTTCGAAGAAAGCGAATTGTTCGAACACGACTGTTATGTTTAGTTGAGTACAATACAAAAGTTTTATTCACAAAGCCCAGGATTAGGTGATCGACAGGACTCGGGTGACTAAAAATTCATCATTAATCCTACGCTCCGCCGATGAAAGTCTTACGATCTTAAAAATGTCTCATTGTAACTGTGAAATAATACATGAGAGTATATTCTGTACGAATAATACATACGAAATACGAGTTATGTACAGTAGAGCATCGATTATCCCACTCAATTGGGGATTGCGGTTGGTCGGATAACTGAAAAAACGGATAACCGAAAAATATGAAAAAATACATTATTAGTATAGTATATTAGTATATCCCATGTAATTAGTATATCTCTATTAACCTACTTCACGTTGAATTTTCATCGATGTTAAGCCTAAAAAATTCTTTAAAAATAATAATCGTCGCTATTGTATCGTTAAAAATGAGGAAATTAAGCCTCGTTTAAATACTGGCTCCCTTTCACAGTCGAGCCAGTGTTACCATCTAAAACACGTAAAAATAATATTAAAGTAACCAAGACATAGCCAAATATTGTAGCGCCACATCACTAGCAGACATTTGAATTTGCCGACTAGAACGCGGTCGGTTAACCGATGTGACGGTTGATCGAGGGTCGGATAATCGATGCTCTACTGTACTTCGATCGTGTGTTTTGATTAGTGATGTGCCGGATCATTAAAAATGTATATCCGCGGATACGGTTACGGATACGGATAATTAGTGTCAAGATCCGCGGATACGGATCTCAACTTTCGTACTCAGTCGGCGCCGATGCGTGTGACCTTGGACCGATAGTTGACGCTTTGCGTTAATAACGCGACGTGTTTTGACTTGCACTGCGCGTGTTTTTGTTTATAGTGTGAAAGTGCGCTAAATTAGAATTCACCACAAAGGCAGACAGGATAAAGTAACAGAAAGTTGATATAATTTTCCAATTAAGCTATTTCGCGTCTTTATAAAGATTCTATTTCGGGGAATTCCAACTTCACGGTACAAACAGTAGCATGCGAAATTACAACGATAATATTAGTTCGCTGTATCCAAAGCACGTGTACAATACAGATCCCGATCGCAACAATATAACCCGGAACCTTAAAACTAACCTTAAACACGAACTTAACACTAATAACAGAAAAAGGGATAGAATTAAGAAGACAGAAAAAAAGGTAGATAAGATAGAAATACGGATATCTGGAGTTTTGTCCCTTTTTTCGGCTTGTTTCTTTATGCGTACTGTTGGGTGGGATAACACACGTCCTTCTCCTATAACTGGCCAGTTCTCTTCTTCAATAATTAGGATTTTTCCTTTCACAGTCCTCAATACGACCTTAAAACAGGAACTTTTTTCTGAACTTATTTCCGAACTATCCGGTCATTAAAAATACGACTCCCAGTATTCTCACTTCGTCCGTACACTCTGCCGTCCGGTTTACGAATGACCTGCTACGTCACTTCTCTTTTTTCTCCGGCTTCTGTTTACACCTTTGCTCCTCAAATTTCTAGGAACTGCTCATCCCACCCAAGGGACAGGGAATAGATAAGAAAGTTCTAGAAGAAAATAGAACAATAGAACAAAGGGTAGAAAGAAGAAACGAAACTAAACTAAAATTAATATTTACAAAAATATAGCGTACCGCCACAATAGTTTAGTGCAGTGTTTCCCAACCTTTTTTGTGCTATGCCCCACTTAAGCCTTTCTAAAATTCTTATGTCTCCCTAACATATACAACGGCTATACGGTTAACTTAAACTCTGGACAAGTCCATTTTCGAATTGTCCTTTTTAGCAATCCAATTGCCCCCTGTGGGGCCCACGCCCCACGTTGGGAAACACTGGTTTGTGGCTAGTGTGACACGGGATAGCGTAGGTTACGTTTGTGTTTTTGGAGAGTGTTGAATTAAATTAAAAACAATGTCGACAAAAAAGTTTAGTAGTATAATATGGAAATATTTTACGATAGTAAATGACGAATGTGCTAAATGTAAAATTTGTGAAGGAAAGTATTCCCGTAAGGGTAAAGGTACAACATCGTTAAAAAATCACCTCCAGAGGAAACATCCACAAGAATATGCTTTATTCTTAAAAGAAGACTCCGCTAAGAAGAGTGCCGACGAAAACGTTCAACAGGGAACATCTTTACAAACGGTAAAAAGAGAATTTAGACAAACATTTTTTAACGAATACATAGAAAAACTCAAAATGTGGGATAATACAAACCCCAAATCAATAAAAATTGACTATTTAATTGCAGAAATGATAGCTTTATCTGATTTACCTTTTCAACACATAGAAGGATTGGGGTTCCGACGATTGTTGAATCATGTTGTTCCAAATTATGTTCTAAAAGGCAGGAAATATTTTACGGAACTTGTTTGCAGCGAACTTTACGATAAAGTGTCATCGAAAATAAAGATCATGTTGAAGGATTTTGAGAAAGTTTCCTTTACATCAGATATCTGGTCAGATTCTTCGTCAGGAGTTTCATTATTATCCTTAACATGTCATGGTATTACAAAAGATTTTATAAGAAAAAATATCGTTTTGAAAGCGGAGATTCTTGACGAACGCCACACGGGAGATTACATTTCGGCAATATTTCAATGTATGCTCGAAGAGTGGGGAATCCCAAAACAGAATGTGCACTGCATAGTAAGAGATGGGGGATCCAACATGAAGCGTGCCTGCACTTTATCTGACATAAATAATATTGACTGTACAGCACATCAGCTGCATCTGGTGGTCAAAGAAGCTATTAAAAATGTTGATGCAATATCCATGTTACTTACAAAATGCAGAAAAATTGCAGGACATTTCAACCATTCTACAATGGCAAAGCAAGAATTAGAAAAAATACAAGTTCGACTCAATCAAAGAGTTTTAAAAGTTTTGCAAGACTCGCTGACACGCTGGAATTCCAGCTATTATATGTTGGAAAAACTTGATTGCATTAAGGATTCGTTGTCGCTTTATTCTACTAATAATAAAATAGTACAGTTTGATGCCGAAAAGTGGATTTTAATTCAAGAATTTGTGAGAGTACTGAAGCATCTGGAAGATACCACAAAAAAATTGAGCGCACAAAACATATGTATATCCGACGTTATTCCTCTAGTACGAGCATTAAATAAATTGTATGACGAGATTCAAATTTCTGCTAATAGTGGGGAAACTCTCAACATCAGCACACCTGCCGTTCTTGATTTTTTGTCTTCTTTGAAGAATGAATTAGATTATCGTTTTTCTGAAATCGACAAAAATATATTGTTCCAAATAGCAACATTTTTAGATCCACGTTACAAAGGTAAATTTTTCAGTGATTTTCTTATCAAAGATATAAAACAGAAACTACTTACAGCTTTAGAAACAGAAGTAAATATCACAACAACTACAACTAGCACAGAAAAATCAAATGCTGTAAGAAAAGAATATTGCAACAATTTAGAAGACTCTATGGCTAATATGTTAGATAGTGACGATGAAGATGAGGAATCTGAAAACCAAATATCATACACTAATGCTAATTTGCTCACAGAATATGCCAAAGAAAAAAGATTATCAAGAGACCAAGATCCATTAAAGTATTGGGAGATTAATAGTAAAAAATTTGGAGGTCTTAGTCACATGGCTCGCACATATTTATCATCACCTGCAACAAGCGTTCCAAGTGAGCAGTTTTTCAGTGCAGCAGGAATTATTTACGATCCTCATCGTAATAGACTTTTGGGGGATAAAGCTGCCAAGTTACTCTTTTTGAAGTACAATTTACCATTAATTAATTTTGATTATGACATTTAATTTTTTTGAAGTTTCTAAAATTGTGATTATTTTATCTGATAATTTGATAATTAAAATTCTTTGATAATTATTATAATATAATATAACCGTGATGATTATTTCAATTAGCATTAGAGGTTTGATCTCACTATAAAGATAGTTAAATTAATACCTTATACTGGTAACTTATAATTAATGTTTAAATANCAATTTGTGTTTCTTTGCAAGCTCTTGGTGTATTATATTTGCTACTTGATTGTGTCTATGTAAGTAATCTGTCTGTGCCAAGAGCTTGCAACCAGAAGTAATGTGTTGTATAGTTTCTGGCATGATGTGACATTTTCTGCATGTGTCAATTGCGAGTGTTGTATCTTTGAGTATGTGTTTTCTACAGTTTTTAGTATTTATGACCTGATCCTGTATGGCAATCATGAATCCTTCCGTCTCCCCAAAGAGGCATTTTCGATCTAACCAGCTGTTTGACGCAGTTTTGTCAACTAAATACTGGACCAGGTCATAAGGATGCCTGCCATGGAGTGCCTTTCGAGCCCACGATTGCTTGATGGTGTCTATGCTTTTTATGTGTTGTGTTATATCTGTATGATGTGAGTGTAAGTTTAATGGTGTGCTATTTGACTCTGCTAGAATTACTGCTTTATGTAACTTTGATGTTTCTTGTTTCCTGTAGAAAAACTCTTGCAGTGACTGTATTTGTTTGTAGTGTAGGTTTATAATGTCAATCAGGCCACGTCCACCATCTTTACGTGGAAGGGTTAATCTTTCTATGGCGGATTTAGGGTGATGTTGTTTATGCTTAGTAAGTGTTGTTCTTGTTTTCCTTTGGAGTTGCTCGAGATCTGTGTCCCTATTTTACTTTGTATTATTGTTAAAATATTATTTTAAGTTGTCGTGTTTTAATTTACTCGGATATTAGAACAAATTGTAAACATTATTATTGAAAATTAAATTAATTTTATGATAATTAGAAAGAATATATAAAACTTTGCCTTATTGTTTCAAGATTTTTTATGAAAACTAAAATGAAATAAATTGAAAAGTTTTCTAAATACTTATAATCTTAATTTAATCAAGAAATTTTTCATCTGAAAATAATTTATATTTTAAAAAATTGGGGCGTGTCAGGACGTTGACACTGCGAGTGACTTTTTATTTTGAGAACTTTATATTTGGAATTTAAGTGAAAATTATTCGTTTGTTTAATTAAANAAACATTTCTTATTCAACGGCCATAAAAATTATTTATATTAATGATGTCTCCAAAGTTCAACGAAGTTTTCGCAGAAAAATAACTTATCAGAAATCGCTGCCGCGGTTTGGTGCGTTGCTCCGCGACGAAAACAAGCTTGAGCAATGGCGACGTCGAACGGTGCAAACTCGGTAAGTAATCCTACAATTTTTTGTTTATAGCGTAGTTTATACGGATTATTCCCCCCCCCAAAATATACGTATTTTGAGTCGAATTAGTCTAGAATCGATTAATTTTATGGAAGTAAACCTTTCAAAAAGATGTAGTCCGTAAACTTCACACGTGTCGGGCTGTGATTGGCAAGGACTCGTAAGAAATCGATTCATAAAGAACGGAACGTATTTACCGTGTTATAGGGGGGTCGACTGTACTATGACACGCTTCTTGTCTAGTGTTTTGAATGGCTTATAAGCACTAAGATTGGCTTTAATTTACCACTAGACTTATTACTCCACCGCAGGACATGAAATTAGATTTAGAACAACACTATTTTATTTTCAGAATGCATTTCGGACATGGTGTCCCTCATTAGCATTTTTGCTACAAAAATAATAGGAGATTAACAATTTTTTTAAAAATACCGTAATTGTCAGGAATGAACAAATGATGTGGACTTACATTTAACACGTGGATTCGATTTGTTGAACATTAAAAAAAGGCTAAGCATGCGATAAAAGAAAAATTTTTTCATTAAAACACGGTAGTGCTGATAAAATAACAATAATAAACTGAGGTTCTGGTAAAACAGTAAGTAGTAAAAATGTACACTGTTAAAACAAAATAATAAGTAGATAAACATATATATTCAAAACAGAAATGCGCGTATTCAGAATGATGCAAACATGATTGTCTTTACATTTCTTATTCACTATGTTTCCCATAGTTATTTTCACAAAATAGTACTGTACGAGCACTTTTTCCGTATTTTCAATAGAAAAGTTGCATTGTTTGACACGGAGAATTAATTTATATGCAGAGAAAGAGCGTTTCGCATCTGCTGAAGATAACGAACAGTATTTCAATCTTGGAAGAAGATGAACTGGGAATTCACTTTCAGTTATGCTCTTTTTCAAACTAAAATATCAGCCGCAACAAACATGCACTTCCAGTATTCATTGGAAGCACTGCATTCAACTTTTTCCTCACTTTTTCTGCAGCAGTGCCTGGTGCATCAAGCTATTTTTGCTTTGTTCTGTTTAGATCAATTTGTTCACATATAGGTTTCCCACTACTTTCAAGAGCAGTAATAGTATCTGCAATGAATGTGAAATGAGACTCGATGTATAAGAAGTCTTTCTGAACATAAATGCCATTCAAAATTTTATTGGTTTTAATTACACAAACTGCATCGTCCGCTAATGAAGTTTTTGATATCGGAGAAATGTTCACTGTAGTATTTAATTAATTAACAGCTTTCAGCCAAGTTCCCCAACGAGTGAGCACGGGTTCTGGGAGAAGAGCAACATCTGGGACCACCGGCCGAAAAGCTTGCACTCTAGACGAGGCTTTAATAAACTCATCTTCTCAGAGGAGATGAGTTTATTCACTTTCTTATATTCTGCTCTGATATGTTCTGCTACTCAATTAAGACCATGAGCTAAGGAGAGCAGGGAAAAACCTTAAGTGTTTTAATGGCAGGAGCCATGTATGAAGCAGCATCTATTATGGCTACAAGAACTTTGCCTTCATCAGGATTAATCATCTTTCTTTCATTGTTCATAAAATGAGCCACTGTTTCATTGTTAGATTTAGTCAACTGTTTGGTGTAAATCAGATGAAATCTGGAGGGTACAGTACATGAGGTTCAAGCTTTCCAATAATCAAGTTGGCAACGTAACGTCCGTGATTGCTTGTTGTTTCATTAACAAAGAACCACAAGTAACAGTCCTTAAGATAGTGTCTTATCCTGGATACAATATTTTCGTACGTAGCCTACGTTGCACATAATTCTTTCGAAGTATCGAATTTCAATAGATTTTCTGGTGGCAGGACTCCCCAAGAATTTTCTGAAATGAGTGTTCTCCAGTTTTAAATGGAATATTTGCTGCTATAATAGCTCGATACAAATCAGCACTAAACTCATTTTTCTTCGATGAAGTCTCTGAAGTCTATGTCAAGGACATTTGTTTCATTTTATATTTTCCTTCAACGTTTGATTTATACAGAACACCTCGAAAGTGTTGTGTGAGGTGGTATTTCTTTTCACTGGACACCTACAAATACTATTATATTTTACTATTTGTTGTTATTGATTGCTTTTAAACTACTTTATATTTTATATATATTAACATTATATATACAATATGAAATTCGCAGTAATATTTTAATTTATGAAAATAATTTTTTTACTGACAGACTTGGCACAGATTAATTAATCTTGCCATGTGATGTGTAATGGGGAATTCTTGAAGCCATTGTCGATTTAATGAGGCTTTAGATGTTTTAACTTTCGGCATTTTCGCTAAAATTTTATTCACGAGTGAATACTTCAAACAAAAATAAAACTGATCAGCATTAGACTGTCAGGCTATTATTTTGGCAGAAGTTGGGATTTTATAACTTGGTGACAAAAGACAAGGTGCGGTTAATTGCCGTTTCCGGAGGGAATGATGGAGGGAAAATTTGTAAGAATGTAATCGTCTTGGAATGTAAGCAGTACAGCATGTTAATTAATAATTTAAGAATTAAAATAAACCTTCGCAAAAAACGAAACGAAAAAATTAATAAAAACATTTTAAAAATATGAAAACAGACTAAACATCTGTTTTAGGCAAAAATAGGCAGTAACGTCAAAATAGTCATTATAAAATACCATTCTTTCGGTCTAAGTATTAAGTTTGCTCTATCTGTTTTCGTTTTCGATTTGCACCGCCTATCTTCCAAATTTTGTTACTATGGGCGCTACTGTCGTTTACATTAGGTCGGGCATAGTCACTTTAATATACCGTTACCTTACTTGCATGGATNTATACTACTAGCTGCAAGGACCCGCTTCACTGGGTTTTTATTTGTTCGTACATTTGTATGTAATATAGTTTTTGTTTTTTATATATAAAAGACTGTTTTTCTAAGTAATCTAGAATCTAGCTGCAAGGACCCGCTTCGCTGGGTTTTTATTTGTTCGTACATTTGTATGTAATATAGTTTTTGTTTTATATATATAAAAGACTGTTTTTCTAAGTAATCTAGAATCTAGCTGCAAGGACCCGCTTCGCTGGGATTTTATTTGTTCGTACATTTATATGTAATAAAATTATATATATAAGACTGTTTTTCTTCCTCTACATAAATTTTCTCTGATTGGATATGTTTCCCTATAATTTTCAAGTTGCTCTTCTGTCTTATTATTTCTGTTTTGTTGATAATTTTCTTGTAGCAATGTTAGACGTACTGTACTTCTCTTTCTTTTAGTGTTTTCATTTCTCCCTGCCATCTTTTGCCTTTAAGATATGATTCGAAACCGCAAAAATTCTTTCTTACGCTTTGGCATTGTTTTTTATTCTTTTACTTTTCAAACTTCACTATTCACTTTTCACTTTTTACTTTTTTCTGTTATTCGTACACTTTTACTTATGAAAAATAAACTGAAGCATGTTTGTCATACTTCTCCAAAAGCCATCCTCACTACTCACACATAACAGTCCTCCACGATTCCAAAACATTTTCGACTATTCGAAAACATTAAAGATTAAGTTTAAAATTACATTATAGCCAATCTTACCCGTTTTCGCAAAATGAAAAAGTTAGGTCCATCGTTTCCAGACTAATTAGAGAATTTTTACTTTTTACATAGGTTTAAAAATATGTACGATTTCCCACAAAAACGCAAAAACTCGCATCTGTGCCTGTAAATCTTGCACGCCGCTTTCTCTTAACACTTCCTTTGTTACTCAACACTTCCATTAATGACCGGGGTCAC